AAAATGTTTGATGTAATCATTAAGGGGCATGGCAGCAAGCATTTAGAGAAGATACCCCCGCCCCCATCCCCCAATGGTAGATCCTTCACACAAAACATGCAAAGAACTACACTGCTATATGGCAGAACCTTCAGTAACATATCTGGATACTCATAACGAGGGATCCTGGTTTTCTCTGATAAAAAAAAAAGTCCCCATTTTTCAAATATGCAAAAGTAACCCAAAATCTCCTTTTTTCTATGACTAAAATAAAATGCCTCTAATAGATAGATAGATAGCTCTATATATCTATTTTATAGATATACACACATCTATATAGCTATATATCTATTTTATATCTATATAGATATATAGAGAGAGATCTATATCCATGTATAAATATAGTGCTGTTTCATTTTAATCACAGAAAAATGTTGATTTTGGGTTACTTTTTCATATCTGAAAAATGGGCATTTTTTTTTATCAGCAAAAACCAGGATCCCTTCTCATAACCATGGAGCAATCTTACTGAAGCCTGTTGCAGTTAAATAAAGCCCATACTTCATCCTTGTTTGCAGATGGCCTTGTAAACACCTTAGAACCCAATGAGCCATTTATACCATTTCACACCAAAGTGCTGACATTTGGTGATAGAAAATTTGTGCTTCTCAGAGCAACAATAAATCCCTATGGGCCAGATCTTCAAATAGCACAACATAGTACAGCTCTGCTTACATCATTAGATTTGTGCTGATCTACAGTAGCTGAGGTTCTTCAAGTTAATTTTTTTCCCCCAGGATATAACATTTAGCAGTCTGGCCAAACTTCTATTACCTCTATTACATTTCCAGAGGCCAACCCCCCATTTTTGGTTTAAGCAGGTATTCTGCACTTTGAATTTCAATGCCTAGGCACCCAGCTGCTGCTGCAAGAGCAATGCCATGGGGATGCTTTTGTTGTCAGGGCACAGACTCTGCAGGGGTGGGAGGCATTCTTAGCGCTCCTAAGTTGGTGCCCTGCTTGCCCATCCCTACTTATGCTACTGCTAAAGGTGGAAAGAGCTTATTTTAAATACTCATTTAGTGGTCTCCCAGCTGGGTCAGAAGCACAGACACTTTTCCCAACAGAGGAGAAACTGATGCAGAAGAAGGCTTCTTTTTCACATCTCCACCATGTCCCTACATCACACCTTGGCTTCTGCTTTTCTTCTACCCAGGCACTTATATCAAAGCTAAGTAAGACCTTTCTCCTATTTCTTCCAAACCGGCAATTCTCTCAGGACTCCCACCATCCTACATAAAACATTCCAACTCCTTAATCTACTAATAATGCTGTGTACACACATTCAAATAATCTGGGAGAATTCCCCCACATTTTTTTCCTGGTAGACAAACCTATCCAGAGTTACATGTACAGACATTCCAGTGCTGAAGCCCCGAAGAACAGAGAGCTTGCAGTGCTGATACTGGGCAGCCAGGGGAGCCTGTGCCCATATCTCAGCATGCTCTCTGCAAGATTCCTTAGTGTGCCTAGTGACAGATGGCAGCAGTGCATAGGGCAGCCTTGATTGCCTAACCCAGACCTATCACAGTCAACCTGTGTTTCCCTGCAGCACAATATGCAGATTGTTAAAGGGATGTGTTCTGCTCCCTGCTGGAGTAGCAGGGTTCAGTGAACAATACCTTTGGCCAGTGGGGGTGGGGAGGAGATGCCAAAAGACTATGTTTTCTTCTAAGAGAAACCATGACATATACAAATATTCACTCTCTCAAAAGAAACTTGCCTAAGAATGATTTAGTACTGTTCCCAGGTTATTTTTCTCCTGTAGCAGCCATTTTTACCCTAGGAGAAAAAGGCCCAACATCTGTACGTTCGCTGCTCTCCCAGAAGGAACTGAATGTCTGTATGAGGCCTAAGTTCTCTTACTTCCCCTACAACTCAATAACCTACCACTCCTGGCCCTGCAGTCCCCCAAAGATTGAATCGAACTCGTATGTTAACTGGAAACAGAAAATATATTTCCTAGCCCGTTGACATCATGAGTCCAACTAGGCTCATTCTTGTCTTTGCAGTGGTTTCAGTCCCTCCCTTTCTTTAGAGAAGTTAGAAAGTTAATCAATGAAAGGGACAGTCAAAAGAAAAAATCTAACAAACACTTCTGAAGTGTCCACACCTGTAAAATAAACTCAGTCTATTGATATTAAATAATTTTAGAAATTAATGAACCTGCTTTTCACTATTGTTCTTCCTCTTCTACCCATGCTTTCTGGATTCTACCTAGGTTGGACAGTAAGGTCTGGACTCTCTGTTGTTGTGCACCTTGCACAGTTATTCACATCAGTGCAACAAGAGATTAAATCTCTCACTACCCCATTTAAACAGTACCCTTCTACCCCTATTTGTAAAGTTATGAATGACTACACAAGGCACAAGGACAAGGCCTTGAAACTAAACCAACCTGTTTATAGTTGAGTTTTGTTATTTAGCTCTCTGTCATCGGCACAATAAGCCTGTGTGTTTACAGTAGCATGCAGAAAACTTTACTAATCCCATACTTCTCTCTTCATCCTTTTTTCTCAGCTCCTCGCATGCTCTGTCTATTCCTCTTGCCCAAACAACTCCATCCTTGAAGTTCTCTAGTTAGGTTTCTTCCCAGTCCACTGAAACTGCGCTTATTCACAATCTTCTCCTTGCCAGCTCATTCTCCTTGATTTCCCTAAGTATCTTTGATAGGCATCTCTTCTTTCTCTGAAACTGTATGCCCTAGTTCTTCCATGCCCACTGCTCTTTCTCCATCCCCTTTGAATTTAGAGGATACAGTCTCTCTTTGTGCTCTCTAGAGGTCTCTCCTTGCTCTTCTCATTGGTGAAATTCTCAAATGCAGCTCCTTTCACACAGTTTAAAGAGATTCCCTCCCCCAAAGCAATAAAAGTAATCAGCTTTTCACTGAATATGTACATATGTTTTGATTACAACCAGGCCAAATCCTGCATTTCATAATTCAATATTCAGGCAGAATTTGCCTAGATTTTAATGAGGAAGAACTTCCAGATGTAGCACTGTTTAAAACTTTTTGCAGATTTCTTTATTAAACAACAAAATACTTAGATTGGGAGCTAAAACTGCATAGCGTAAACCTAATAACCAGAAAGAAGATTGAACAGATTGTTCAAATTGCTGAGGACAGCTAAGTCTAGTGAAGGCTCTCCGATGCTAAGAAGATGGATACAACAGTTAAACCAAAACTGGATTCTAAGAAACAGAATTATTGACTGAGAGGCCACTGATGGATTCAAGACCATTCAGTGGCTTTTTGCATCTTAAACCTTGTTTTGCCCATGTGCAATTGTTATTAGAAGAAGCATGGCACACAAAGTAGAACAAAAGATTGCCCACAAAATGAAATTACTCATATGCACTCTATTTCATTCAAGTCAATGGCAAAATTCCCACTGACTTCAGTAATACATGATCAGGGTCATATGCCCAAACTAACAATTATGTGTAGGAGCATGTGCATGTGATGGGTTATGAGAAAGGAAGAGTGTGAAGGAATGCTGGGAAGTGGGGATGCTGGTCTGTTTACATTTTTTTCTAGTAAAAAAATTTGCATGTCCTTGTCTCCACTTCAAACAGCTCATCTGGAAATCCATAACTAAAACCCATTACACAGAAAAAAAACCCACTCAGAAACCACCAGTGAAGCAGAAATTCTCAGTCTTGGTGACACACTGGTGTCATTTCCCCGTTCATGTTGATGACCCATTTTTCTTTCTCCTCCTTCCCTTCTCAGAGAGCAAATACTCTCTAGATTCTGGTCAAGTATATTGTCAAGACTCCTAAGGCTGTTCTATAAAGGGGTGAGTAAGCTATAGAGTGACTAACAGCAGAACTAGGCACATTTTTTGAGATCCAGCAAGACAAAGAACCTCAAAGCATAACTGACTAATTCTGAATAAAATAACGCAAAAAAGAAAGCCAAAGAGGGGGCAGGAAAGTTGAGGATACCTACTGGAAGTGGAGCAATAGTATAACTAGGGTGGCGCTCCGTCTTAGTGAGATGTGGGGGTGCGGAGTGGAAAGAAACAGTTGCCTCTGAAGCCACACAAGTGCGCCAGTAGTAGTGACGGCAACCGGAAGTCACCACTGCCCCTGCATGTGGCAGCTGCCCCAGGCACCCAGCCATGTCATTATTCCCCTTGTCTAGAGAAATGGAAGAGTGGACTACCTGAACTAGGTTGTAATACCTGAAAGTACTATTACTGGAAATTTCTGTAAGAGTAAAATTCACCACCAAGCAACAGGTTAGCACACAGAAGTGTCCAAAACTTCTAATTTCATCACAGGTCTAGCACTATCTAGTGTTTTTTCCTGAAGACCAATGTCCTTCAGTCATATGATTTCATAAGCATCTCATTGAAAAAAGAAAGAAAATAAGCTTCTAGCCATGAATGCTGTGGAGAAAAGCTTGAAAATATGAACCCTAAGGTTAAGATGTTGGAAGGTTGCTAAAAAGTATATATAACACTCAAATATATTAAATACCATTATTTTTAAGCACATCCCACAATTTTGAATATCTGGTATTTGCACTATTGTACAAGACCTAGGTACTACAAGTCCCAGTAAGGCTCTAGTTCTGCATTCATACATGAACATGGACAGCACCCCTCCCTTCAGCAGTCCCACTGGAACTTATCAAGATTCTCAGAATGGGTGTAAAGTTGATTATATGTATGGATTGCAAGTGTAGGCCCACAAGTTTTAAATGAAACTTCGATAGCGTAGCCTTATGTTGCCCTTTCACACTGAAAAATAATCTGGGGGGCACAGGGACTGTTCCCATCTGTCTGAAGCATTTTGTTTTCTCTTTTTTTCCCCTTTTATATAGCTACAGAATATAAAGTAGCCAGCAACATTAATAAGTGTTAAAAATAGCCACCAATCTTACTTACAAAACTCAGATACAGGACATCTGTCAGAGAAGTATATGAAAATGGAAAATTAAACAATTCACTAACCTACTGGTGAGGCACCTTATTCCTTTGCCTTTTTGCCTCTGTTACCTGAAAGTCGCTCCATCTTTATATCATTTTCTCTCACTTTTATCACCTGTTTTCTCTCTCTCTGTCTCTCACTGAAAAAAAAAAGAAAGAAAAAAAATCACTTTCAGTCTCATCCAATGGCTTTTTTCCTTTTTTTCTCTCAGTCTCTACTGGCTGATTCCTTTTTTCCTTCCATTTCAGTGCATCTTTTCCACCTTGTTTTTTTCTTAGTGAAATTCTTACACCTCTAACCAGACAGAGGACCAGTGCCTTTTCTGTGCTTTGATAATGTAGCACTCACACACTCAAAATAGAATGGAGGTGTGCAGCTGGAGAAACTTTTTTGGGAAAAAGAGCCTATTCACTGGAAAATGCAGTTTAGGGATGACAAGCAGCCTGCAAAAATCAGGTTGAATTCAATGAATAATTTCGCTCAAAAATAATGGAGGAGGGGAGGAGAATTCAGAAAAAATAAATGTTGAAATGTCGTTTTGATATTTTAATAAATTGTTTTGAATTTTATTTGTCACTGATAAAAAAAACTTAAAAGGAGTTAAAAATCTGAAAACAGAACAAAGTATTTCATTCCAGATGACATGAAATACTTCAATCATACTGTTTTTTTTCAGTGAAAAGAGAAAAATACTTTTAGTTTAGATCACTATGAAACTTTTAATTTCCAGGTCAGCCAGTGAGCTGAAAAATCAGTTATTCACACATCTTTACTTATGTGATCCTTTAGTAGTGCCTGATGGCCATTGGCACAAGGGAGAATTTCTCCTCTGAAGCCCAAATCTACTCATATTAAAGATACGGGAGTTTTATTGTACACTTCAATGAAAACAGGATCACATCCACACTCCAACCCTTCCTCCTTTCCCTTCCTTGTCAATCCCCATGAATCCTTCCTGCTCTTTCCTGCCCACTAGTGCGGATCCCTCTCCCTCTTCAAGTTTCTCCTGCTCCCTTGATACCTTATCTTACACAATCCTTCACTGGAGCTTATCCTGCTCTCTGAGGATGGTCTGCTGCCTACTTCCTTTCACCCTTCTCCCCACAAGCTTGCTCTGTTGAGCGAGAAAGTTAAGTGCCCTACTGATCTTCTCGCCCACCCTTCCCTTGCTCAAGTGCTAGCAGCCTGCAAGCTTAGCTGTTTCCTTTACTGAGCTGCCCAAACCCTGTATAGACAGCCCAGAGTGGGAGTTGGCTCAGCTGCAAGCCAGCAGCTATCCTCTGATTGGCCTGGAGCTCAGCCTCAGCAGTGGAAACCCAGGTGTTCCCACACTGACATAACTCGTGATGCACTTTCAGGCCCTGTGATCAGTTTGCATTTTGGTGGCTAGCTTCAGAAGAATGCAGCCTGGCAAATCTAACCATAAAATAAAAATGAAAAAAGAGAGTCACGTGGGCACTTAATAGGCCTGTGAGTCTAGGTTTAAATCACAAAACCTAAACCTAGGGTGCGAAAGAAGAGGGAGCTGGAGGGAGGGGCTGAGCCCTCCCTCCCCCCGATAAGAGACAAGAGCCCCCCTGTAAGATTTGAAAATCATAACCTAGGGTGGTCTCCAGTGGGACTGCTCCTTCACTTAGGTGGACTTGCTAATCAATGAACCGGTTTAATTTTTTTAACCCCCCGCAAAAGTCAAAGTGTAATTCGAACCCTGCCTATACCGTGTTCCCTACTAATGTAAATGAAATGAATTTCCCTGTTAATATGCAGCCTCATTTCTATGTAATCTTTTTCTTGCATGCTATCCAGGCGTGCTTAAACAGCACTTACCAGCACCCCTAATAACTCCTTAATAACCCCTTCCTTTTGCTCCGAAGCACTCAGAGAAGACCTGTACTATGGTGGCTGGCAACTCCCCACAGCAACATATACATTCACCAAGCTTCCTTCCAGCACATGAGTACAAGACACGCTGTCCCTGAACACAGGGCAATTTACTGTAAAGTCAATAATTGTCAGTGAATATTACCAAAACCAAGGAGGACAAAAAAATCCCTGTCACAGAATCAAAGCCTGAAAATGCACCGTCTGATTTTAGTCCTTTCTGTAAAATAGGAAAAGGTAATAATTCTAATTGAATATTAAAGCAAGAAGCATGATACTAGCAAACTATATTTATTGTGTTAATGTACCATTTGTCTTCTGGGCAAGTTACTAAAGGTCATTTGTTCTTCATGGCAAGTGTTGAAAATAGTTTGTGTTGTGGGTCTGACTTAAAGGAACAATGTCAAACCCCTCAGGCCCAAAATGACCTTTTTATGCCAACACAGAAATCTAAATCTCTTACTGAGGATAGTGTTGATGTTTGCATTTATTGGTCTCCCCACCTTCAACCCTCCTCCCCTTTCAATAAGAAATACCTTATGACAGCAAAGTTAATGCATTGTTCTGTGCCTCTAAAGCCTCATTCCTAGCAATACCATTAGTGCCAGATGACAATGGCAAGAATCACTCTGTCAGCCAAGTTCACAAATTTCCTTCTTACCAAGTGAAAGGGTGAATGTGTATGAGAGGATGAAAAGAAAAAAAAAGTTATTGTTATCTTCTGAAGGAAAGGGAATGTCTGATACCATGTACTCTGGAGGTCAAAAAGTGGCAGGGTTTGTTTGGCCCTTGGATTGAAAAACTTGAGGTGATGCCCTTCTCCTGACTCAGAGAGAGCTGCTGGGAGATGCATGGCTTAGCCTCTCTCGGAAGAGGTTGGCTGGGAGTGGGAGGAGTGTATGATTATAAAATAAAGAGGAGCATTATATATATGAAAGATTAAATCCAAGGAGATTCAGGGGCTATGCAAATAGGCAAATTATTTGGAGTCTCCCTTTACAGGTGAAAATCCAGCCCACTCTCTGTGGTGACCAAAAGTCTTCATTATCATATGGCTGTGATGCATTAAATGAATGTAGTGATCTAAATCCTGACCCAGGCAAGGTGCCAAGTTGCCCTCAATTCCCATTGAGCTGAGTGTACTGTAGATTTCAACCCTTCCTGCAGGTACCAAATACAAAAACAAACAAAAACAAAACAAAAACATCACACAAATAGCATTCTTGTTTTTAAAAAATGAAACCTTAGAAAAAGCATCCAAGGTGCATACAGGCACTGAACCTGAAATACTCTTCGTTTGGAGAAATGGGCTCTCCATATCAGGCCAGATTGGCATGGTGGTATAGGGAAGGTTGCACCACTGCTGTCTGTGCCAAATCTACTCTGTTCTAAAGAGAGTAGAGATACCTTCTGCCTCTTGTTCTGCCAGTCAGACAAAATTTATTGAGATGCAGGGGAACATGCTGAGACATCCTGTCAGAGGCTTGGCATGGGCAGAGGTGCACTCAGTTGAATCCTGCAAGGTGGACACCTCATGTAAAGTAGTTTTGAGTGGGCTCAGTATAACCTTGCAAGAGTCAGTCATCACTTTGCATGATTTAAATGCAAAAGCCTCAAAAAGGCAAATATCATTTTCCTGAATTCCCAGCTCTGGCTGCCATTTGTCACAGACTTCACACATTTTACGTACTGCCCTGTCACATTTGGGTGGCAAAAAATGGCAAAGCATAGATGTCGTGACAAGTAGACAAGACATGTTTTTCCTCTTTAATATCACAAGGCTCCGATTTTCCTTCAACACATAGGATGGGAAAAGAAGCCCTAGGGGCAGAAGAAACAGTTTAAGAGTCAGTTAAACTGTAACTGTTCTAAAAATAAGAGAAATGAAAAATTAATTTTTTTGTAAAAAATAAACTATTATGCTTTTTTGGAATTCTGGGAGTAGATTCTTCAAAAACTACTATAATAAATACACATGCTGTATTCATAAGGGCTCCTCTACACATGCAGATAAAGACAAAATGGGATCCAACACGATCCACAAAACTCTGCCTCCTACTATGCCATACATGCATGGCAAGAGGCATGATTGCAGGACTGCGAATCAGATCCCATCTCCCACCTCCCATGCCTTATTGCCAGTGCAGAGGAAGCCCAAATCCAGGCTCCTCCTGCACTGGCAAGATGCAAGCTCCGGTGGCTGGAAGCCTCCTCAGCTGACAGGGCTCCCAGCCACAGGGGCGCATTAGGGGTCCCCACAGCAGAAAGACCTCAGCAGTTGTGTAGTTCCAGCCATGGGGCTGCATGAAGCTCCCCTGCAGCTGGAAGACCATGTCAGTTGTGGTGTCCCAACCACAGGGATGCACAGGGCACCTACACTGCTGAGAATCTTGTCAGCTGATGGGGCCCCCACCCACGGGGGCGTGTGCTGGGAGCCAGCATAGGTTGGGAGCTCCCAGACTTGGGGGTTCACATGGGCCTCCCCAGTTGGGAGCTCCAATTAGCTGACATGGCTCCCAGCCATAGGGGCCCCTGGCCACATGTTTAATTAATAGTTATCACACCATTAACTGAATGAATCTGTGGTCAGATGATCACTTAAGGTGTGATTAATCATGCCTTAAATGTAACATGTAGATAGGACCAGTATCGTTAAATTTCATGATTTTTGACATTGTTCTTCAAATCTACGCTTCAGAAATGTGTGCGTATATATGAAATCTACGCTTCAGAAATGTGTATGAGCTACGTTTTTCACATTCCCGAAGTATAGACTTTAAGAATAACGCCAAAAATCATGAGAGTTTGCTATACTGTTGGGCTTAAGTGTGATAGTCAGATTTTTAAAATAAACTCTACTGCAGATCCACAAATTACATTAAGCCATTTTCTAGGTGCCCTTTCCTTTGTTACAAAGGCTATTGTTGTAAAGGAAAATATATTAACGCTACAAGCAAAGCATACACACATGGAAGTAAGTAATGTTCCCGATTATGGTTCAAACAAGATCAGCAATTTCTTTTCCCTTACGTAGGGAAATTCAAGAACAAACTGGTTACAAGGGCGTCTAACAGTTTCTCTTGGAAAGCTTTTGTGGAAATCTGGCTGTATTTGAGCCTAACTATATATATATTTTTTAAAATGGTGTTGTGTGGGAGGGAGTTGGAGATGTAAGCAGGAGAGCATATTTATATGATGTCCAGGGTGGACATGAATTCCACTGAGATTTCACATTTGGTGGTGGCTAGGAGAG